CTGGGGGCTGGAGCCGGTCCCGCCTTCACCGCCGCCTCTTCCCTAACACAGACGGTGACAAACGGGGACAACAACAGCACCCGACGCTGACTGCACTCCAAGAGTGGCCCATCACGGACCCTCATGGATCCATGCCTCCATCCCAACGTACACGAGAGACGAGTCTGGATGGAGGTGGCAGTGACTCGCCCCGGTCACACGGAGCCTGGTGGGACCGGGAACCGACAGAGTCTGCCCCCGACCGACCCCGTCAGCCTCCTCTGCACTCTCCTCCAAGCGGGCTCCGTCCTGGAGCGTGGCACGAGGAGCCTCTCTACGTTTAGCCAGAATCCCATCCTGGCTGTCGGCTCTAGCTCCTCGTCCTCCCCCGTCTCCCGGGGATGTCTGGTCACCCTCGCCCGCCCTCCGCAAGTCCCTCACGAGTCACGTCGGCCAGAATTCCCTCGTAGCCTGATGCCCTGTCTTGGTCATTTTCCATCCCGTGGCTCCTCCGCCCAGTTCCTTGGCTATCAATTCCCACGTTTCCTGCTGCACGCAGACACAGCCTGCCTCCCGTGGCTGTGGCCCCCATGCGCTCAGTGGTGCTCATGGAATCTACCTGTTTGGGTGAGCGTCATGATTTTTCTTGTCATCGGTCAGCAGGCATGAGAGACAATAGAGACAGAGAGCAGGAGAGAGAGAAAAAGCATCCCTATGAGGTGTGGCTACGCCATAGCTCCTTCTCCTCCATTTTCCCTGATTTTGGGATTTTGGGATTTTGGGGTACACACACACACACACACACACACACACGTGTGTTTTTAAAGCCACAGGATCCAGGGCTAAAACCTAACGGTTGGCCATGTGGAATCTAGTTCCTTTAACCACCAGGCCACGGGTTGGCCCTTTTTCTTTATTTTTAAAGAATGATTTCTTTAATGTTATTTATCATCATTGTTATTATTAAATAATTATTTATTTATTTATTTTTATTCATTCGCTTATTTTGATCTGGTGAGAGAGAGAGAGAGCGAGTGAGCATGCATGCGTGCACCACCAGGTCCAGGACTTGAACAATGGTCTGCCATGTGGGAGTGTCCCGCACCCTAACCACTATGCCACCTGCTGGTCCCCACATTATTATTATTATTATTTTAAAATAGAGATTTTTGCTATAGGGCACATGTACTCGCCAGTGAGACAGAGGGAGTAAGTGAGAAATCACCGCCCCTTTGCCGGGAGATGGCCACGCTGCAATCCCTTCTCCTCCAGTCTCCTCTCGGGATCTTAGACATGCATGCACATGCACCCAGTGAGAGTTTCAGGTCACCGGGTCTGGGACTCGAACTGTAGTCGACTACATGGGAATCCAGCGACGAAACTATCACACCATCTGCTGGTTCCTATTATTATTATTAAATTTGCTACAGGTTACATGTGCTCGCTAGAGAGAGACAGAGAGGCAGAGGGGGGGTGGGTGAAAAGGTCTGACCATGGAGGGAGCAGCACTGGGTCTGGGCTACTGAGGCAGCACCTTAACCACCACGCCACCTGCAAGCCCCTGGACCTTTTTCTTTAAGAGTCATGCTCTCGCCAATCACCAGTCCATGCTTGGTCCTGGTGGAGGCAGACAGGAGCCTGCAGGGAAGAATGGCAAAGGAGGATGCTCTCTGAGCTAAACTCCCCTGGGAGCACAGAGGATGGGCCGATGCAGACCAGGCTCAGGTGTAGAAAGGAGGCCAGGGCAGGGGAACTGGAAGATGTGTTCCTTGCCGGCCCCCATGACTGACTGTCTTGTTTTTCTTTTTTTTGGAGAGGTTTTTTGCTATAGGGTGTGTGCGCTCGCTGGAGAGACAGAGAAAGACAGAGAGACAAAAAGCAAGAAATCATCTCCCAGGGGGGATGGTCACGCCGCAATCCCTTCTCCTCCATTCTCCTCTCGGGATCTTGGGCACGCACACACACGCACCCCTTGTGCGTTTAAGCCACCGGGTCCGGGACTCAAACTGCGGTCAACCACATGAGAGTCCAGAGACATAGCCATTACACCAACTGCTGGTCTCAAGCAAAACTCCTTTTAAAACACAAAACAAAAAAAGAAAAAGAAAATAGAAAAACACGCCGGGCATTACGTGTACATGCAAAAAATGCCAAGAGATGAATAGAGGAGAAGGGACTGCAGCATGGCCCCACCCCCCGCAGGAGTGATTTCTCGCTTTCCTTATTTTTCTCTCTCTGGTGAGCTCACATTCTATACCAAAACTAAACAAACAAACAAACAAGAGAAATGGGAGTGTGGGGCCAGGAGGCAGTGGCTTCCAATTCCCTGGCTACTGAGGAACGGGTTACAGAAGCATTGCCTTGCTTGTCCAATGGGGCAAACTCACGGGCTCTCGAAGATCTGCTTCGGATCAAATGAGAATGCCCATGGACAAAGGGCCTGAGCCACGACGACTGTCCAAAGTATGATCATTGGCCACAGATGCTCCAACCCCCGGTCCTAGCGGCGAGCCAGCCCCAGGACGCTCACGGAGCAGCCATGTCTGGAAACCAGCTCGGAGTCTATGAGAGCTAGCGGTCTCTCTGCATGGCTGGCTCACACCACGAGATCCTACACAGGGCCCGAGTGCGTGATCAAGATCCACAGGCCAGGGCAGGGACGGGGGAGCATTTTGGGGCATTCAGATGAGCATTTTGCTTTTACTCCTGCCCTCAGGGTTTAGGGAATCCTGGGAGGCCCTGAGCCACTAGGTCCCTCATCAGCTTCCGAGGGAGAAATACAGGCAGCAGTGTGCATGTCCGGGAAACTGGGCAGCCAGTGCAGGAGGGCAGCCAGCACCCAGCGAGAACCTGCAAAGCTGAATGAGGAGCATGAGGAGGAAGGTAGGCCTGCAGCCAGCGGACACCCCAGACTCCTCAGGGAAGAGTCATCCGCTGCCTTCCTCGTTCCTGGCGCTCAGTACCGCGCAAGAAGATTTTTACTCCGTCTTTAGGGAGGGAAGGTGAGTAAGCCCCGGGCCCCTAAGAATGTCAGATCGGGAGAGGAAGGGAAAGGGGAGAGGAAGGTGGTATTCTTTGACCCATGCTTAGGTTGAGGTTGGTGGGACGGAATCTGCTCAGCAAGATCTCATACAATGTGCTAAAAGGCAGGACTGGCGGATGATGGCGTAGTGGTTACGTCGCTGGACGCCCACGTGTTCGATCACAGTTCGAGTCCCGGAACTGGTGGCTTAAAACTCATGCCAGGCGCACGCGTGTGCATGCCAAGATTCTGAGATTAATGAAGAAGGGACTGCAGTGTGGCCATCTCCACCCCCTCTGAGGGGTGATTTCTCGCTTTCTGTCTCTCTGGTGAGCACATGTGCCCTATAGCAAAAATCTTTTTTAAAAAGAAAAAAAGATACGCTGAAAGGCGACAGATCCTAGGGCCTAGGGCATTCTCTCACTCGCCCCTGCAGAACTGCACAGGTGGGACCACCAGAAACACAAGGATGACACAGTGCCAGCTCCTGTCTACCAAGAAGTGTCAAAAACAAGTGGTGGGTTTCCAGGGACCAGTAAACTCCTAAAGGACCAAGAGCCTGTGCTGATCTCCCTGACGACCAGGAGACCCATTGCTCGTTCTGGCTGGACATGTTCTCTTGGCCCACCTGGGGCGAATTCTACACCCACTCTTGGGGGGATCCATGTGGACCTCATTCAGGGATGCGGTAACATACCCTAGGAACTGGGGTTAGCCCCCAAAGAGGGTTGTCGACAGGGAGGTTCTGAGACCTTTGTGCTTTTCCAAAAAGAGGTGGCTCCATAAATGCCCATCATAGCCCACGGTTCCTCCAAACCTATCTGCCTTTGGGCTCTCCTAAGACCGTGGAGGAATTGAGGGTCCAAATGGAAAAACAGATGTAACTGAACTTCTTCTGCAGACAGACCATAACAGACACTCAGACAGACCAAGGGGGAGGAGAGGACCCGTGAAGATGCCAGTCCAGATCATCCGCAGTGGGTCCTTCAGAGCTGTGGCTGCCCACCCCACCCAGTGCCAAACGGGAAAGGACATGGAGCACCTAGAGGTCTAGAGGTCAGGGGTTGGTGGCAGTGGCCCTGCAGGGGGCAGAGAGCGCAGCCTCACCTGGACCTGGCCCTTCCCCATGAGCCTGTCCGTGCTCTCGCCGTCCTCCTTGGGCATCTTCATCTTGTTGTAACACTTCTCATAGCACAGTATCCTCAGGGTCTGGGAGCCTTCCAGCTCGATCTCAAACTCCTGCAGCCCCGAGACAGAAGAAAAGTTACGGATGAACCAACAGGGCCAAGCGAGCAGCGGTCGGCACTGCGGCTCCAAGGGGCCTCTGAACCATGGCTCCCTTGCAAACCGTGTCCTTGCTGCCCCAGGAGGAGCCGTGCTCACGACCCTGCTCGCTGAGCTCCGGGACCCTCAGGAGCTTTCTCCGTGGGCATCGTCGTCCCCACACTGCGGGCTGGCTCGGATGCTTCTCTAAGTGTGGAATTCTCGAACCTAACCCGAACTCCTACATCAGCATCTAAAGGGTGGTCCGGGGCCAGCCAGAGGCATGGTGAAGGCAGCTGGATCCCTGGATCCCACATGGCTGACTGCACCATTTGACTATCAGACTCGGCGTCTTGGGAAACATGCTAGGCACATGTGTGTGCATGCCCAAATCCTGAGAGGAGAAACAGAAGGCAATGTGGCATGGCCATTCCCTTTGCGGGGGGGGGGGAGTTCTCACCCTCTCTTGGGTGAACACACGTGCCCCACACCACCCACATCAGGGGTTAACAATGCATATATTTGGGATCAACAGAAGGTGTGGTGGCTAAGGTGCTGAACTCCTACATGGTCAATCACAGTTTGAGTCCCAGACCCAGAAGCCTGAAAATCATGCCAAGTGTGTATGCATATATGTCCAGAATCCCAAGAGGAGAATGTTGGAGAAGGGACTGTATTGTAGCCATCCCACTGAGGGGGGGGTATGATTTCTCACTTTCTCTCTCTAGCAACTGCATGTGCCCCATGGCAAAAAAAAAAAAAGAACTTAAAAAAATGCATATATCCTTTTTGAGAGATTTTTGCTATAGGGTATATGCACTCCCCAGAGAGAGAGACTGAGACAGAGAGACAGGAAAGCCATTCCGCAGGGGGCATGGGCACATCCCAATCCCTTCTCGTCCATTCTCCATCTTGGGCGCGCGCACACACACACACACACACACACACACACACACACACGTGCCTGGTGTGAGTTTTAAGTCGCCAGGTCTGGGACTTGAACCACAATCGATTACGTGGGAGTCCTACGATATAACCATTATGTCATCTGCTGGTGCCCCTAAAATGCATATATTCTATGACTATGGGTAATAATGATGTCAACGTGGGTTCATTTTTAGAGCAATGAAACGATTTGGTGTAATGCTGTCATGATGAAAACACGCCATTCCACACGTGTTAAAAGTCATCGAACATGCAACACCAAGAGTGAACCATGATGTCGACGGGAGGCTCTGGGTGATAATGATGCCCACCTGGGTCCGTCGACTTAACACACGCCCCACTCCAGTGCTGGGGGTCCACCCGGGGGCGGACGGGGAAGGGGTGTATGGTAGCTCTGTCCTTTCTGTTCAGTTCTGTTATGAATCTAAAGCTGCCCTAAAATAAATTCCGGTGCCAGCTGGTGGCGTAGCTGGGCCCACATGGGAGGGGGCCGGGACCGCCTCGAAGACATTGGGCACATGTGCGCTCGAGACCCGGGCTGAGGGAAGGGATCCTGGCGTGAAGACCTTGTTGGTAGGGTGCTTGTCTCTCTGTCTCTCTCTCATGAAAAAAAAAAAAAAGCAAACAGGTGCATTTATTCCTTCTTTCATTGATTTATTTTTGAGAGAGGTTTTTGCTATCGGGTGCATGCACTAGTTGGAGAGACAGAGATAAAAGCAGAGATGCTTTATCCATAGGGTCTCAGCGCACTGGGGCCCCCTTTCCCCGGCCCTCTTGCTCTTCAGAATTTCGGTTCCTGTGTGAACACAGCGTTTTCCCCAGCCGACCCAGAGATCTGAACCGGCTACGCGGCTTCCAGCACTGCAGTTCAGTCTGGGCCACCTGGGCCACTCGGCTGGGCCCACCTGGCCCTTCCTGCAGGGACGTTCGAGCTGAACTGACCAGGAATTTTGTCAGACTCCTCGGGCCCTCAACCTACGCCTGGTAGCAAGTCTAGCGATCAAAGAGCAGTGGAAGCTGGAAAAGACCTGGGTTCCCGCACCTCTGCTCACTGCTCGAGTGGTGTGGCTCGGGGGCTCCTCCTCTGCGGGGGAAGGGAAGGGTAGGAGGCAGCTCCCTGCAGCCCAGCTGCCTCCACCCACTTGACAAGGTCCTCGAGGGCAGCAGCTGCCGCAGAGGCTGGGAAGTGGCATCTCCCATGGATCTGGGGATGTCACTGACGCTGGCCACTTCGCAATCACTCCCACTCCCAAGGCTTGCGGCCAATCGGTTAAGTGATTTATTCAACAGCTCTCCGCGGTGCAGGAAGGCAGGGCCACAGACTATTGGGTCACTGGGAAAGTCGTGACGCAAAAATGCGTAGAAAAAACACAGAGAAATACGTCACGTCTTTCCTGACAACCTAATATACAAATGTGACCTCCTTAGACAGGCGTACAGGGCTCTGCAGGCCAGGGAGGCCCAGGGAGCAGGGCCCACAGTCCCTGTCCCGGTCCCCACAGGCAGAGCGCCAGGCTTCCCGAGAACCAAGAGGGCCATTCCGCCTTCCGAGGAAAAAACTCTATGGAAACCTCCCAAGTAAACACTAAGTGGTAACAAAGGAAGACAAAAAGCCCTTTTAAGTTCTTTTTCCAAACACGCCTCCAGCTAAATAAATAGGCTCATTCTTTGTCATGGGGGCTGGGTGAGTAAGATTCTCAGGAACACGGTGATAAAAATCTTCTGGCGGAGTCAGCCTGCCACCCCCCAGGAGGTTCCCGGCATGCGGGCAGCCCGGCCTGTGGGGAAGCCCTCAGCCCTGCGTGTTAGGTGTTTAGCCTCTCTTGCGGAAGCAGGCTCCTCACCTCGTTCCAGTTCGGCTCAGTGGTGTCCCTGTAGACGCGCGTCTTGGCTTTATTCACAAAATACCCGAAGGAATCCACTTCCAGGGTGCAGTACAGATCTGTGGGGAGGCAACAGGGAGACTGTGACCACGCTTTCCGGGTCACCTGCAATTTCTTTCAGCTCTTCATTCATTTATTTACTCCATGAGAGACAGAGACAGACAGGCACCCCCGAGAGGGTCTTCATGCTGCACCAGGTGAGGACCGTGGGCGAGCGCGCACCCAGTGTTAACCTGGAGACACCCGGACTGGAGCCCGAGACCTCCTCGTGCAGTGTCGGGATCACGGGACTGAACAACCTTCCTGACCACGGCTGGCCTCACCTGTCTCGTCTCTCAGAGGTGTTATGTTCCAAATCAGAAAAAGATGGCCTTCACTTTATTTATTTTTTTTAAAAGAATGATTTTATTTAACTTTACTTATTATGATGATTATTTTCCAGTTTGATCAGAGAGAGACAGAGAAAGAGGGAAAGTGAGAAAGTCAAGCCACCAGGTCCAGGACTTGAACCGTGGTCAGCCATGTGGGAGTCCAATGCCTTTATAGTTACCACGCCACCTGCCGGCCCTGGCCTTAACTTTAAAAACAAATAGAAATGGGACCAGCACATGGCATAATGGTTACACCGCCGGACTCCCACGTTATAGAACATGGTTCAAGTCCCAGACCTGGTGGCTTAAAATACATGCCGGGTGCAAGCGCACGTGTGCCCAAATTCCCAAGAGTAGAGAAGGGATTGTGGTATGGCCATGCCCCTAAGCGGGTAATTTCTCACTTTCTGTCTCTCCCTTTCGTAAGCGCATGCACCCTGCAGCAAAAATCTCTCTAAAAAAAGAACAAGAATAAAAATAGAAAACAAATAAAAACACCAAACCAATGGCTGGTGTTTTGAACATCAGCATCTCATGGGACACTCCTGACCTACCCAGAGATGATTCTGTGGGTGAAGCGGGGAGGGATGGACGGGGTGACTGTGCCACAGCTACACAGGGGACAAGCCCCACAGCAGAAGCGAGCTGTCCTGCAGGGCGAAGACAATTCCTGCCACCTGGGCAGACCCAGCTATGCACTGCAGAGACTAAGGGTTGGAGCAAAGAGGGTTCCAGGCTCATGTGGACTGTCGGAAGCAGCCCGGTGCTGGGAACCACAGGGTACAGGAAGAGGCCTGGGGGTGAGTGGGGCAGGGTCTGGCTGGGCTGTAAGTGGTCAGTTACAGGGTGGGGTTTGGGGGTTTTTTTTTTTTTTGTGTCAGTTACAGGGTGGGGTTTGCGGGTTTTTTTTTTTTTTTTTATTGTTGTTTCTTGGAGAGGTTTTTGTTTGTTTGTTTTTGCTATAGGGCACGTGCCCTCGCCATAGAGACAGAAAGCGAGAAATTGCTCCCCCCCCAGGATGGATGGCCATTCTGCAATCCTTTCTCCTCCATTCTCCTCTTGGGATCTTGGGCACGCATGCACACATGCCAGGCGTGAGTTTAAGCCACTGGGTCCGGGACTCAAACTGTGGTCGACTACATGGGAGTCCAGCGACACAGCCATTCCACCAACTGCTGGTCCCGGGGTTTGCAATATTTTTTTAAAGAATTATTTTACTTATTTATTATTGCTATTATTTTTTAATTTGCTATAGAGCATGTACATTATTATTATATTTTTTCAGAGAGAATTTTTTAACTCTGTCACTAGACAGAGACACAGAGAGAGGCAGATAGAAAGCGAGAAATCACTCTCTGGAAGGATGGCCCCTTCTCATCCTCCTCTTGGGACCTTGGGAATGCGTGCACACACACCTGGCATGAATTTTAAGCTGCTGAGTCTGGGACTCGAACTGCGGTCTATTATGTGGGAGTCCAACGACATAACCATTATGGTATCTGCTGCTCCCTACTATTATTTTTAAATTCACTATAGTGCATGTGTACCCATGAGAGAGAGAGAGTGAAAAAGCAAGCTGTCAGGTCCAGGACCCCGACTGTATTCAGCTACCTGGGAGTTCAGCGCCTTAACCCCCATGCTACCCACTGGCCCTCAGATTTGCATTTTAGAAAGTCTACCCTGTGAGGGGGGAGGAGGCCTGGCAGTGAGGACAGGGAGGAGAGCCTGCATGACAGTAGCTGGAGACGAGGCAGAAGTCTCCCGGATGGGGATGGTGTCTTACTGACCCAGGTGAGCAGGACTGCGCTTTCTAGCTCGGTCCTGGGGTGGATGGTGGTGCTTCTCATAAAACCAGAGGAGTAAGTTTGGGGCTACAGATGACAAGTTCAATTTGGGGACATGGAGTTTACAGCTTGGGATACTGAGATGTTTGGAAAGGTAACAGGCAAGGCCAGGAGTAGGTGCCATGAGGGAGCCAGGGCTGGAGGGGAGCCCGAGAGACGCCAACACTGACAGGGCAGCCGGAGAGGGCCCGGGGAATGGTTATGTGTGTACTACAGCTTCATGGAGGGATAACCTGTTTCCTGAACAAGTCATTCACTCCGAGTGCACATTTGGGGATTTATAGTGAATTTAAACCCAGTGCATGGGGTCAGCAGGTGGCGTGGTGGTTCCATTGCTGGACTCCCACATGGCTGACCATGGTTTGAGTCTTGGAACCAGTTGCTTAAAACTCATGCCGGGTGGGGACCAGCAGTTAGCATAATGGCTATGTCACTGAACTCCCATGTAGCCGAATGCAGTTCGAGTCCTGGACCCGGTGGCTTAAACTCATGCCGGGTGTGTGTGCGTGCGTGCCCAAGATCCCGAGAGGAGAATGGAAGAGAAGGGATTGTGGCATGGCCATCCCCCCTCAGGGGTGATTTTTCACTTTCTGTCTCTTTGTCTCTCTCTTTCTGGCGAGTGCACACACCCTTGTAGCAAAAACCTCTCAAAAAAAAAAAGAAAAAGAAAAAGAAATCATGCCGGGTGAAGATGCGTGTGTGCCCAAGATCCCAGGAGGAGAAAAGAGGAGAAGTGATCGAGGTGTGGCCATTCCCCTGGGGGAGTGATTTCTCGCTTTTCCTCTGTCTCTTTGTCTCTTTGTCTCTCCCTAGCAAGTGCACGTGCCCCAAGGCAAAAACCTCTTAAAAAAAAAAAAAAAAAAAAGAGAGTGCAAACAGTGTCACAATCATTTCAACCCAAAAGCCCCGGGGTTCAATGCAGTGAAGCCTCCCTCTCATCCCTAGCATTCAAAAACCACTGGTAAGTTTTCTGTTTCTGTATTTGACCTTTCCTAGAAATTTCAAATACATGAAATGATATGTCATCTTTTTTTCTTTGTGGGGGACCAGCAGATGGCATAATGGTTACGTCGTTGGACTCCCGCGTGATTGACTGTGGTTTGAGTCCCGGATCTGGTGACTTAAAACTCACGCCAGGCACATGTGCGTGTGTGGCCAAGATCCCAAGAGGAGAATGGAGGAGAAGGGACTGTGATGTGGTTACCCAGCCTGAGAGGGTGAATTCTCACTTTCTGTCTGTCTCTCCAGCGAGCGTACACACCCTATACCAAAAACACCTCTGATTTAAAAAAAAAAAAATTTTTTTTTTTGCCATAGGGCATGTGTACTGTCAGGAGACAGACAGGGAAAGTGAGAAATCACCCTCTGTGGGGAGGGCATGGCCACGCCACAGTCCCTTCTCCTCCATTCTCCTCTCTGGATTTTGGGCATGCACACACACATACCTGGTGTGAGTTTCAAGTTGCTGGGTCTGGGACTCGAACTGTGGTCGACCATGTTGGGAGTCCAGCGATGTAACCACTATTCCACCTGCTGGTCCCTACGTAGAATATTTTTTTTTCGGTTCATCATGTTGCCTCCATCAGTAGCTCATCCTTCTGACTAGAGAAGGATGCTCCATAGATAAACCACATTTTATCTGTATAAATCTTTTTTTTTTAAGAGAGGTTTTTGCTATAGGGTGTGTGTGCTTACCGGAAATACAGACAAAGAGACAGAAAGCGAGAAATAACCCCTGGGAGGAATGGCCATGCCACAATCCCTTCTCCTCCACTCTCCTCTTGGGGTTTTGAGCACACATGCACATGTGGCCGGTATGAGTTTTAAGCCGCCGGATCGAGACTCGAACTGCGGTCGACCACGTGGGAGTCCAGCGACATAGCCATTATGCCATCTGCTGGTCCCTCATCTGTCTAAGTCTTTATGTGGATATGTTTTCATTTCTTAAAATGAATACTGAAGAATGGGATTGCTGGATTATATGGGAGGGGTATGTTTTAACTTTTTAAGAAATTGTGAATTGGGGCCAGCAGGTGGTGTGGTGGGTAAAGGACTGGATTTCCACATAGGCAACCATGATTCGAGTCCTGGACCCAGTGGCTTGAAATTCATGCCAGGTTCATGTGTGTGTGTGTGTGTGTGTGCCGAAATCTAGACAGGAGAATGGAGGGACTGCTGCATGGCTGTCTCGCCCCCGGGGGTGATAGCTCACTTTCTTTCTCTCTGGCAAGCATGCACCCAATGGCAAAAACCTTAAAAAGAAAGAAAGAAAGAGAGAGAGAGCGAGAGAGAGAAAAGTGTGAAGCCATCTTTCCGAGTGGCTGCAGGGTGCTACATCTCCACGCTGGGTCCCTGTTTCTCCACACTCTCACCGGTATTTGTTAGCAGTCACCCCCCTGCCCCCCATCCAGTGGGTACATCCACCTACAGAAAGACAGAGAGACAAAGCAAGAGGGAGAGGAGAGGCAGCCCCCGTGGGAACAGTCGCACGGCAATCCCTTCTCCTCCGTCTCTCCCTTCCTTTGGACATGCACACACAGGTGTCCAGTGCTTCTCCAGCCACCAGGTCTGGGACTTGAACCACACAGGCTGGCCTCTAAGGGTTCTTTACGTATTCTGAGTAAAATCCCTTACCAAATACATGATTTGCAAAATTTCTCTCATTGTGCGGCATGTACTCATTTTCTTGTTTGAATGATTGATTGATTTCACAGAAACTCTGGGAGAGGCTGGCAGAACCGTGCCTACCCCATGGCCTCCTGCAGTGGCCCCTTACAGGTCGCGGGGAGGCGCTGTGTTGAGAGGTCAGCACGACCAAAACATCACTAGCTCTCACTGTCCGGACAGCTTGAGCAGCTGGGAGAGAGCCCCCATCCTTCTCCTCCTCGGAGGTTTTAGTATCATTCATCCATCTCGACAGAGCAGCCAGACCTGCTCTGCTGGGGTCAAGGGACACTGCTGACCATTATCCTGGCTTGGGTCTGAGGTTTTCAGGTATCCTGGCTGCTGCCGAGGGCCAAGGGTTTGGTCTCTAGCAGCAACTCCAACTCCTGCAATTACAGGACCCGCCTGCAGGGGGTGCAGCTCTCCAGTTCATGGACTCCACAAACACCACACCCGGGAGGCATGGCCAGCACCAGCGGCCTTCCTCTCCAGACCACTTACTCGAACTCTGCTTAAATCCGGTGGCTGAGTGGACGATGACATTCAGGAACCCGTAAAGCCCAGGCGACTCATCATCTGTGGAAGAGATCAAAGAGGTGAGCGTCTGTCCTTCTGTCCGGGCAGGCAGGCGGCAGGCTGGCTCTGCCTCTGAATAACCACACTGTGGACACCACATGGCTGCCAACGGCCCAGCGCCAGGCAGGACAGTGCCACGGACCAAAAACGTACCCACTGTGTCTGTCTTAGGGGCCTTCGGAGCTAGTGGGGCTCGCAATATCAAGTGCACTTAGGACCCGAGGACAGGAGGGGGCTGGGGGTAGCGCAGGATGTGGATGGAGCAGGCAATGTGTATGCGTGTGTGCATATGCGTGTGCAAACACAAACTGTGTGTGGCTGAGTGCACGTGCGCGACAGTGACTGCAAACTCGGTGTGACCAGAGCGCGTGCTGGGAAGTGCCAGGAGGGAAGAAGGGCTGGGAGACAGAAGGGGAGCCAGATCCTCAGGACAGAGGGTCAGAGGAGTGTTTGTCACAGCCCTTGTGACAAAGGATGGGAGCCACTCCTTTTCCTTAGCCACCCGGCAGTGGCAGTCCGGGCAGAAACTGCTCCTCACCCACCCCTCCATTCCAGGGAGGACGGCAGGCCAGAACAAGCGCATAGAAGCCCCTGAACGAGAGGCCTCCAGGCTCAAGACAGCGCTCGCGGCTGGGAGGAACGTGAGCCCTGGGGCCGGCTGGCGGCCCTCCCTTCCCAATGCCCACCTTCCTTGTTGATGGTCAGCGGGATGTGGTGGACGGTCTGGAGCTTGACGCAGGAGTTGGTCAGCATCTGCAGCTCCACGGACGTCAGGGAGAAGCTTTTGAAACCTGAGCGGGTAGAAGAGAGGCACGCTGGCCAATCAGGCTGCTGCTCGACGGACAACGGTGCCCTCCCACCTGGCCCCACACCTGGGAGGGGCACTGCAGGAGCCTGGGGGCTCAGGGAAGTGACCGGCTCCCAGGTGAGGTTCTGGCAAGATGAGGCATGCTCTGGACAACCCAGGCCTGAGCTCACAGGGTGGGAGGGAGCTCAGCATTATGGTTTTTTTTTTTTTTTATTTTAAGAGTTATTTTATTGGGGCCCATAGGTGGCACAGTGGTTAAGGGTCTGAATTCCCACATGGTTGACCGTGGTTCGAGTCCTGGACCTGGCAGCTTGCTCTCTCACTTTCCCTCCCTCTCTTTCTCTCATTCTGTCCCTCTCTGATCAAATTAAAATAAATAAATAAATGAGAATGAATAAAGTTAGATAAAATAATTCTTAAAAAACATTACTTTATCTAATTTTATTCATATTTATCATTTTTTAATTTGACCACAGAGCAACAGAGAGGGAGACAGCGGGAAAGCAAGCTGCTAAGCCCAGGACTCGAACCATGGTCGCCTTGTGGGAGTCTAGTGTCTTAACCACTATGCGAACTGCTGACCCTTCTTTTATTTACTTATTTATTTATTTTTTTGCTATTATTATTATTTTTTGCTATAAGGCATGTGTACTCGCCAGCCAGACAGAAAGAGACAGAGAGACAGAAAGCGATAAATCACCCCCCAGGGGGGATGGCCATGCTGCAATCCCTTCTCCTCCATTCTCCTCTCAGGATCTCGGGCACGCACGCACACGCGTCCAGCGTGAGTTTTAAGCCACCGGGCCTGGGACTCGAACTACAGTCAACTACATGGGAGTCCAGCGACATAGCCATTACGCTAACTGCTGGTCCCTGGCCCTTCTTTTATTGAAAGAGGTTTTTGCCTTAAGGTATTGTGTGGTTGCTGGAGACAGAGACAGAGACAGTGAGAGAGAGAGAGAGACAGAGACAGTGGCCACACAATCCCTTCTCCTCCATTCTCCTACCCGCGGTCGGTCACGTGGGGGTCCAGCATCCCAAACACCATGCCACCTACTGGACCTCGACTTATTCTCTAAAGGATAAAAGGTCCCACTGCCCAGCCCTGCTAAAAGCCTTTAAAACCCAGGAGGAAGGGCCAGCAGGTGGCATGATGGTTAAGGTGCTAGACTCCCAAACGGCTCACCATGGTTTAAGTCTTAGATCTGGGGGTTTAATAAAGACGTCGGGCACGTGTGCCCAAAATCTCGAGAGGAGAACGGGAGAGAAGGGAGTGTGGCGTGGGCACCCCCCCAGGGGGTGATTTCTCACGTTCCTTCTCTCTGCCACTATTTCTCTCTGGCAAGCGCATGCGCCCTATGGCAAAAACTTAAAAACGAAACAAAACAACAACCAAAAGAACAAGAATGAGGAAGAAACGCCCATTGGGCCCGATGTCCTGAGCCACGTCTGGGCTGAGGGCCACTTACACTTTTTCTGCTGCTCCCGGATGTTCTCCCTCCACTCGGCGCGCTCGTAGTCGGAGGAAATGAAGAACGTGTAACTCTAGGTGGGAAAAGTGAGCGCCACCCCAGCGAGGCTGACGCCCTGCAAGCCCAGCCTCCCCGGGCCACGAGACTCACACCTCCCAGCCGCCAGCCAGCTGGAATTCAGGGCCCAGGGGTGCTCTCGGCCTGGCTTGTCCCTCCGGCACTGTCCGCTCTCCCTGTCAGCAGGTGAGCTTCAGGCCACCTCTAGTCCCAGCCCTGTCTGGGGCCGTAGCTTAGGGACACGGAGGGGGTTACCAGGTGGGATCAGCAAACACCAGATGCAGAAGCTGATCCGACCTGCTGCATGGAACTCGCAAGCCCTGGACCATGATCCAGAGATGAGGCCTCTGCAGAGCCCGCTGGCTGCCTCGCTAGGCCAGGCACTGGAGAACGAACCAGTCTGCATGTGACAGGTGCATGAGGCTCCCATGTAGGGGGAGGCTGGGGCCACGGGCGGCACCAGACTTGGAGAAGAAGGCAGGTCTTGGCCTCAGAGGACCCCAGACCGCAATCCCCTTAGGTCTGCATGAACCTGAGAGGAAACCTCCCTGGAGACCTCGACACCTCCCAGCTGTGGGGGCTGAGCCAGCGGCCCCTCAACCTGGGCTAGAGCCAAGGCCCCAGGCAGAGGGTCACGTGTGCCTGTGCACCACATTAAGGAACCCTCTCCTGAGGTCTGGGCGGCCGTGGGTGCGCTCTCACCTTGCCGTTGCGGCTGTGGACCCGGAAGGCCATGCTGGGCGACATGAGCAGCAGCAGCGACTCCTGCTCGGACAGCTTCTTCTTCAGCCGCTCCACGGCTCTGCTGCCCTTGTTGGCCCTCTGCGGAGATAGGCCCTGTCTCGGTTTCCCAGGCCGGGGCCCAGTGCGCCTGCTCCCACCTGCTCCGTCCCCACCACCTCCTCAGCTCAGCCCAGCCCAGCCCAGCCCAGCCCAGCTCAGAGCCTCGGTCCTCAGTCGACAACTGTTGGTGGCCTTTTCAGGACAGAAAGTCTTCACTGGGTCATGTCCTCATACAAGCTGCAGGTTGTGCTCAATAAATGTGTGTGTGTGTGTGTGTGTGTGTGTGTGTGTGTGTGTTTAAAGAGGGATTTTTGCTATAGGGCATGTATACTATCACTGGGCAGACAGAGAGAGACAGAGAGACAGAAAGCCTGAAATCACCCCCCAGGGGAGATGGCCACGCTGCAATCCCTTCTCCTCCATTCTCTTCTCGGGATCTTGGGTATGCACACGCATGTGCCCAGCCTGCGTTTTCAGCTGCTGGATCTGGGACTCGAACTGTGGTTGACTATGTGGGAGTCCAGTGATGTAAACATTATGCCATCTGTTGATCCTCAGTAAACTTTTTTTCAGTTAGTTAGTCTTTGCCATAGAGCACATGCGCTCACGGAAGAGAGACGCAGTGAGAGGGAAAGTAAGAAATAAACCCCCAAGGGAGATGGCCATGCTGCAATCCCATCTCGATTCTCCTCCTGGGATTTTGGGCATGCACGCATATGCACCCCACCAGGGCTGGGACTTGAACCGTGGTTGGCCAAGTGGGAGTCCAATGCCTTATCCACCATACCACCTGCTGGTCCTTTTAAATTTATTTCTTCAATGCGAGAGGGGGCTAGAGAGAGAGAGGGGCACCCCAACAGGATCCTCACACTGAGACCCACCCCAGCCTGTTGGTCTGGGTCACAGGCACGTGCCTGGATGTGAACCTGGGACCTCCCCATGAGGCCTCGCCATTTTGGAGCATCGCGTTACCCCTGTGCCATGCCCCTGTGGCTGGCTTCACTAAACATTTCTCGATGGAATTAAGTCCTTCCCCACACAAGGACCGGGAGGAGAGACCTTTACAAACGTCCTCGCCTTCAGCGTTTCGAAACTCAGACACTGTCTAGGAAGCCGTGATGACCAGAGGGTCTTTCATGGCCTCCTTGGCCCAACCCTATCTCAGCATCAGGCCCCTGGGGGGACCAAAAGAAGCCAGATGAACATCATCAGGTCCCGGAAGGGAAGACTTCCCAGCCCTGAGGACTTGGCACTGGCTCCCCCTCTGCTTAGGGACACGCGGCCTCGGAAGCCACAGGGCTGCTCGGGTAAAACAACCCCACGGTCCATCC